ATTCATTTCTAAAGGGGACAAATTGACCCACGAAGGAAATATTTGTTACTTTTTGTAATTTCAACCACCTAAACTCCTAGAATCCAGTACATTTTTAGTGTGTGTGTGTGTGTGTGTGTATTCGTGGCTTAAGTGCTACAAAAGTCCCAAGGTCTTGGACCACTCCGATGAACAGTACATGTTTTAAAATAACCCGAGGGAAAGATAAGGGTTAAATGAATCATGCAAGGTGATTTACTAAGGTTTGTGCTAGTCAATTTACTGGTATTTGCGCCATTATGTACCACCCCCAAAAAACCCCGGCTTAAACCAGACGCGAATTTGTTCTGCTCTTGGTAGATTGCGTTGGTCATTATGGAAATGATCCGTGTTCGTCAGTTCAGTCGAGTCGTCAGTAGATCACGCGCAGATCTTTCCACTCCCATCGGCGCCGGTTTGGATTTGCGTTCTCACGCTAATTTTAGTTTAGTAAATCTGGCCCATAGTCTGTTGCGGTTGCAAACTGCACATTTTGTCAAATGTAACAAGTCATCTGGGCTTTCTATGCATACTACATACTACTTTTTAAAAACGGTAGGTTGTATTCTGCGTGCGTCTCTGTCGATTCTGGTGGTAGTTATTCTTCACTGCACGTAAATTGCACAATGCTAGGTGTCTTGAGTCAAAACTACATTGACTTTGCATGATGCAGCCACTTACACACTCAGTATTGTATTGTAGAGATTGATTGGTGAGTGCTGGTGTGTGATATGGATCTGTAGTATGGATTTTAGTGGTGGTTACATTTAAAGTACTACATTACCCACGCTCCACTGCTGCCCACCATGCATGCGTGTGTGAGAGGTTAATTAAGTGTTGTATGTGTGTGTATTAGAGCATAATGGCTCCACCCATGTTAGTTACAATACAACTTTTCCGTTTTACCCAGAAGGCATTGTTCTGAGCACGCAGTCTGAACGGAAAGGCAGAGTCCCTTTCTGCAACAATGGCTGTCAACATGCACACAAACATGACATGTAGTTTCCTGCATTTTTATAACGCAAAAAGTGTTTTTTCTCATGAGGGGTCAGAGGTCATCTGTGCATCCATGTCTTTGGAGAGACTAGTGTGTATGATTGATGGCTGTCCAAACTATGTACACGCTTCTTAAACACACACTCTAGAGCCCCTTTCACACAGAGATTCATTCACACTGCCAGTGATTTTCTGAAATCTATGCGTGCATTCACACACCTTAAAGATACGTGATGTTGATGTTAAGGTTGCTTATGATCTGCGATTGCTCTCGAGAAACCACGCTCGTACATTTTTTTTTCTGATTTGATCATAAACTAGTGCACCGCGTACCGTTCAACTAAGTTGGTGAACGATCTCAGCTTCAGCGTCATCACTACAACAACACACCCCTTACGGCATCGGTCCTGGCTTTGGTTCACGCAGAGAGCGTTCCGGGACTGATCCCAGCAGTGTTACTTGGTCCCCATCCTGGGATCAATCCCGGGACGTGTTTGCCTTCACACAGAAGGCACTGCAATTTTCTGGGATCAGCGCTCTGTGTGAGAGAGGCTTAGAACAGCTGTTCTCAACCAGGAGGACAACAAACTTCCTAGGGGGCCTCAATATGATTTAAAATAAAATAAAACAAGCATTAAAATAAGCTAAAACGATTAAAAAAAGGTTGAGATAAGGTTTCCTGCACCAAAAACAGTCATCATTGTTTTTTTCGTGACCATATTCCACCCTCAGTTTTGTCTGGTAATGCTAGTCATGCCGAATTTACACACTTTAAATCTTTAAACAGGCTGTTTTGCTGCTGTACCTTTAAGATTTCTATTGAGAAACGATCTCTGTTATGATTGTGTAACCTTTCCGTAGTGGAGAGCGCTGAAGTTCCTACATACTGAGTAATTGTTGTGTAAATGTGGGCAGATTTATGTAAATGACCTTGTTGTTGTGATGTCACAATCACAATAGCCGCTTTGAGACAGGGCTTTAAAGCGATAGTTCACTTCAAAATGTAAATTCTGTCATCATATAATCACCCTCAAGTTGTTTTAAACCTGTATGAATTTCTTTCTTCTGCTGAACACAAAGGAAGATATTTTGAAGAATGTCAGTAACCAAACAGTTAACTGGACCCATTGACTTCCATAGTAGGAAAGAAAATTCAGTCAGAGAAACAGAGGAAGCTCCCGATTTATGATAGTCCGGTATAAAGAGACGAGACGTAACGTTAGGCTACTGACAGATAAAATAAACACATGATTGTAATAACCTTTATGATTTGTCTGATTTCTTCAAGCGTTCATATTACTATGGTGGGCCAATGGTAGAGTGCAGTCTTTTGCATCGCGTAAATATTTCTACGTTATACGGTTATCAGAATCCACAGCGGATCACAAACAGAAGGCATTCAAACATGAAAGTGAATTTTGAGGTAAATTATTTTAACAGTCTTTAAAGGGTTAGTTCACCCAAAAATGAAAATGATGTCATTAATGACACCCCCTCATGTCGTTCCGAGCCCGTAAGACCTCCGTTCATCTTCAGGACACAGTTTAAGATATTTTAGATTTAGTCCGAGAGCTTTCTGTCCCTCCATTGGAAATGTCTGTACGGTATATTGTCCTTGTCCAGAAAGGAAATAAAGACATCATCAAAGTAGTCCATGTGACATCAGTGGGTTAGTTAGAATGTGTTGAAGCAGCGAAAATACATTTTGGTCCAAAAATAACAAAAACAACGACTTTATTCAGCATTGTATTGTGTTCCGGTTCTGTTGTGGATCCGCGTTCAGTGCCGCTGCTGACGTGTGTCTGGTGTGTGTGTGTGTGTGTATTCCGGTTCTGTTGTGGATCCGCGTTCAGTGCCGCTGCTGACGTGTGTCTGGTGTGTGTGTGTGTGTGTGTGTGTATTCTGGTTCTGTTGTGGATCCGCGTTCAGTGCCGCTGCTGACGTAAGACGCTGCTGACGTGTGTCTGGTGTGTGTGTGTGTGTGTGTATTCTGGTTCTGTTGTGGATCCGCGTTCAGTGCCGCCGCTGACGTAAGACACTGCTGACGTGTGTCTGGTGTGTGTGTGTGTGTGTGTGTATTCTGGTTCTGTTGTGGATCCGCGTTCAGTGCCGCCCCTGACGTAAGACGCTGCTGACGTGTGTCTGGTGTGTGTGTGTGTGTGTGTGTGTGTGTGTCTGGTGCGCCCGAGCTTCGTTTACAGTCTGAGGGAGACGCACGCTGGAAACAAAACAATCTTCGCAAACATGTCTAAGGATTTCCACACAGAGGAAGACTTGCATTTTTTTGCCCAGCCATATTTATTTAAACCCGAATACACACACACACACCAGACACACGTCAGCAGCGGCACTGAACGCGGATCCACAACAGAACCAGAATACACACACACACACACCAGACACACGTCAGCAGCGGCACTGAACACGGATCCACAACAGAACCGGAATACACACACACACACACACACACACACACCAGACACACGTCAGCAGCGGCACTGAACGCGGATCCACAACAGAACCGGAATACACACACACACACACCAGACACACGTCAGCAGCGTCTTACGTCAGCAGCGGCACTGAACGCGGATCCACAACAGAACCAGAATACACACACACACACACACACCTGACACACGTCAGCAGCGTCTTACATCAGCAGCGGCACTGAACGCGGATCCACAACAGAACCAGAATACACACACACACACACACACACCAGACACACGTCAGCAGCGGCACTGAACGCGGATCCACAACAGAACCGGAAGACAATACAATGCTGAATAAAGTCGTAGTTTTTGTTATTTTTGGACCAAAATGTATTTTCGCTGCTTCAACACATTCTAACTAACCCACTGATGTCACATGGACTACTTTGATGATGTCTTTATTTCCTTTCTGGACAAGGACAATATACCGTACATACATTTTCAATGGAGGGACAGAAAGCTCTCGGACTAAATCTAAAATATCTTAAACTGTGTTCTGAAGATTAACGGAGGTCTCACGGGCTTGGGACGACATGAGGGCGAGTCATTAATGACATAATTTTCATTTTTGGGTGAACTAACCCGTTAATGCTGATGTTAGCTGACAGAATCATCCGGCACTGTCGTCTCCAGACTCGGGTAAACCCCGCCTCTGGTCGTAACCACTCCTCTAGCCCGAGCTGGCCCGCTTTGGACCAAGGTATTCGTCAGGCCAAAAATCCCTGGCTGTTGGCCCCGAAGAAGAGCCCTGACGAGGCCCGATCAAGCCCTGGAAGTGACATTGGAAATGCGACTGGCCCTGGCACGCACTAGCACTCTCGCTTTTGGCCCGACAGTAGAAACGCAGCTAATGATTTCTGAATGAGCAGTGCAGTTTAGATTCTGTCTAATTGTGCATGTGTGAGTATTATTTAACAGATATTACTTTGAACAGGATGATAAATTAAGAAATAGCTGTGTGTGTGTGTGTGTGTGTGTGTGTGTGTGTGTGTGTGTGTGTGTGTGTGTGTGTGTGTGTGTGTGTGTGTGTGTGTGTGTGCGCAGTGTCTCTCTCTTTCTCTCTCTAATTACAGCCCATAAAATTCCAATTATGATAAAACCCCACAGACGGGGATTCTAGTTTATGTAATTGCCTGTGGGAGCACGTTTGTTTGGTGATGTTTATCGCCAGCAAGGCTTGTATGTGTTTATTTGTATAGTTTAATTGTGCTTATTATATAAAACGACTCTGATCTTGCATTGATTGCTGGTTGTAAGTATCCCACCCTCCTTTTTCAGTGACAGATCGTCTCTCTAAATGTATCTGTCATCTCTCTGATAACCAAAACAGTGCTGAGAGTTCGTCAAAGATGAAGCCTGAATGTATTTCCCCAATCATCTGGGGTTTTTGTTCTGTCGCAGATTTTAAATTGTAATTTATTTTATGCAAAAGCTCCTTTTGATATGTACTTGTCTTGTGAATTTATCCTTCTGTGTTTTGTTGTTTTCCAGAATCCCAGAAGTCTCACCTCTCCTCTTTCACGATGAAATTGATGAAATTTCATTCCCCGAAGATTAAAAGAACTCCATCTAAGAAAAGCAAACAACTCCAGCCAGAGCCTGCAGTGAAGACTCCAGAGAAACCCGTCAACAAGGTAAAGCAACTCTACTCTTTCCTTTTGAGATCTACAGTTACTCTACCATAACTCTACAGTAGTCAGAATTAACTTTCCACTAACTCTAGGTAATAAACATTACCTTTCCACCCTCTTACCTCTACAGTTACTCCAAACTCAACCCTCTCAACTTTACAGCAACTCTACGGTTGCTCTACATCAGTGAACAATAACTCTCTACTTTCAATTCTGCAGTAAATCTGCTGCTCTACCGCAGTAAACATTCACTTTCCACCCTCAGAACTCTACATTAACTCTGCTACCCTTCTACATCAGTGCACATTAACGCCCGGTATACCCTCTTAACTCTACAGCAACTCTAGTGCTGCTGTCAGTGAACATTAACTCTATGCTTTAAGTTCTATAGTAGCTCTACTGCAGCTCTGTCGCTGTAAAGATTATCTCCACACCTTTACAGCTGTAGTTTAACTCTACTGCTGCTCTCTCAACTCTACTGCAACTCTGTTGCCACTCTATCACTGCAAACATCGAGTTAACATCCTAATTAATGTACTCTCAATTCTACAGTAAATCTTCTTCTGCTCTACCGCAGTAAAAAAATTTTAGACCCTCAGATCTCTACAGTAACACTACTGCCTTTCTACATCAGTACATTAACTGTTTACCCTCCTAACTCTACAGCAACTCAAGTGCTGCTCTGTCAGTGAACATGAACTCTATGCTATATGTTTTACAGTAGCTCTACTGCAGCTCTATCTCTGTAAAGATTATATCCACTCCTTTACAGCTGTAGTTTAACTCTACTGCTGCTCGATCTCAACTCTACTGTAACTCTGTTGCCGCCCTATTATCGCAAATATCAACTTTCCAGCCTCTTTAAATAATGTTAATGTCTTTTAACAGAAGGTGAGTCGACTGGAGGAACAGGAGAAGGAGGTGGTGAGCGCTCTGCGTTACTTCAAGACGATTGTGGACAAGATGAGCGTCGATACAAAAGTTCTCCAGATGCTTCCTGGTTCAGCTAGTAAAGTTTTGGAGGCCATATTGCCTCTGATGCAGGTAGAGGCTCGGATACAGCACAGGTGAGGGGACCAGCACTACCTATGGTTTTTCAACATGTACCATGGTAATACCAAATATCTTCAAGTACCATATTAAATAGAGTTGTATATTTTAGGATTTTACAGCTTGCATGCAGCCTCTCTCCATTATTCTCCCTCTCTCTCTCTCTCTGCAGCTCGGCAATGTCCTCCTGTCATAACCGCGTCTATCAGAGTTTGGCGAATCTCATTCGTTGGTCCGACCAGGTGATGCTGGAGGGCATCGACCTCGACGACAAGGACACCGTGGCAACCGTCACCACGGTGATCAAAGGCGTGCTGGATGGTGTGAAGGTGAGGGGATGAGATGTGTGTTTGTGACAAGGTTAAAACAACACTGGCATATTTATAACTGGAGTGTGTGCGTTGGAAACAGGAGCTGGTGAAACTCACAATAGAGAAACATGAGCAACCGTCCCCGACGTCCCCCAACAAACCAGCGCTTCCTGTGACCAAAGCTGAGAGGTACAGTCGTAAAGGCCCAGATTGCTTTATCAGGTTTGCATAGAGATTGTTTAATAATGTTTTTCTCTCTCTTTTCTCAGTGTGTGTGAAAATCCTCTAACTGAGCGAGAGAAGGCGATCCTGAGTAAGACCACGCCCATCGTCACGCCCACTGACAGCTTGACTGACATGTCCGAGGAAGAGGCTCCGCCCAAACCTCCTTTACCGGGACTCAAACTGGCAGAGCACAGGTATGACAGCGTGACTTGGAAATCTGAAATTGTTGTTTGTGGTTTCAGAAAACGAAAAAAAGAAACTGATTTACATATTTTTAAAAGGCATATTAAAAAGATATTGTTCATTTTTCATGCTTGAAATCAAAGACTTGAGTCTGTTGCATTGTAGGATTGCTTTCTGCTAAATGCAGTTGGTCATCAAAGTATTTCATACATTCACTGAATACAAACTGAAAACTGCAAGCATAGTGAGTGTTAGGCTAGTGTGCTAGCTCAGACCTTCATTTCGGTTCCGTCTCAAATCATTTGATACCTCACTGTTTCCTTTACAGCCAACAGATTAAGGTAAATACGCGTGTGTGTAGTGTGTAGGATGCATTGATGAGGCGAACATCAAGTATACTTTAGGGTAGTGAGTAGTGAGCAGAATAATTAGCAGTATGTAGTATATTTAGTGATGGTAATTTACGTCATGTTCATTTTTAATTCTACTTTCTTCCACAAGTAAGTATCTAAATATATTTGAATGAAAACACATCCGATACACACACACATTCATATGACGGCATCATCTCTCAAAGGCGTTTTGGCTTCTGAAGCAGAAGTTTTTTCATTGACTTTTTATCTGTAATTAGAGACATGCAAGTAGTAACTGTATCACACACACTTTCTGTGAAGGGGAATTACAGATGGTTGTGAGTTATTTTTGCTGTCTGATGATAAGAGATGTGTGTGTGTGTGTGGAGGGTGTATGAGATCATGTTAGCTATAGACTTTAGTCAGAATACATGGCATACTTAATTTAACATCAACCAAAACAAGCTGTAGTTCACTCAAAATACCACACTTCTTAAGGTCACATTTAATTCTAACTAAGTTTTGCAATGGAAATGTGTGTAAATGCTCATTTTCAATAAATGATGTACTAATAAATGGGCTGATATTTAGGTATTTTATGATTACCACAATTTCAATTTATTTTTTAAATGTGAATTCAGTTTAAATAATGCAAGTAAATGTTCATTTAATGTTAATATTTAAAGTATTTTGCATCATTGAATCTGAATTCTATTGCTATTTTTTTTTCAAATGTCTCATATTCATATGCATAGATGCATGTTTTTTTTTGTAAAAATACTCAATCCGTATTTTTATAAACCTTCTTTATAATAAAATACCGTGCATAGAAAAACAAATGTTTGTTTTGTACTCATATTTTAGTGGAAAACCCAATATTAAATACCTGATTAAGTGGGAAACTCTGAATATCTGTGTACAAATTTCAAAGCGTTTGTCAGTATATCTCTATATTAATATATAACAGCGTGATATCGGCCATCAGCCACCCTGCGCTCTAGATTTTGCATCATTGTTAAACCCACAGCTCAAGATATTGAAGGAACTGTACTTCCGTCCCTCTCAGCCTGAATTAAATCTGGCATACTCTAATTAATGTCTCTTTGTTTGTTTAGCATTTCAACCACTGTATCAGTTTCTCTCTCCATCATCTTTGTCTCCTTCAATCACACATCATCTTTGTCTTTCTGCATTTTCTGGTTTTCATCCATTTTTTTTTTTTTCTGGAAATGTTTGTTGATCTTCTTCCTCTGTACTCTGTGATCGATTGGTTGTCATGGGACAGGAACAGGATGCAGTTGTGCTCCGATCCTGTTGCCGGGCAGCGGAGGGCCACGGCGATGGAAACGTACGTTAGCCAATGGTGTACTCCTGTGTGCATTTTGACATCACACAGTTACACCCCTCGGCCTCTCTGATTGGACGGTGGCCCTTACCTGCATGTGGTTGTGTGGCATTGTGTGTCCAATTGGATTGCACGTAGCAGAGTGACGACCAATCAGAGGAAAGCCTGATTGCATGGCTGACCAATGAGGCATAGTCTATAAATCCTAAAAGAATGTGAATGGAATTATCCTAATGGGGATAATTTTGTAATAAATAATCTTGAAGTTGTAAAGAAAACAAAGATTATTGGAATATAACTTTCACGCTTACTAGCCGTTTCTCTGTTATTAGTTTGATTTACTAGCAATTTCTGAGTGAAAATTGTTTCTGCTCCAATTTTATTCCAGTGCAGTTTCCAATAGGAATATCATAATTCTCAATAGAATAAAATAAAACCCGATAAATGTTCAGTCAGATGAAAGTGTTCCTAAAATCCTGTAGGATCTGATTTGATTCTTAGAATATTCTAATTGAATCTTATGAAAAAGTTCCAAATTTTAATACAAATTCCAAATGGAATCCTGTGCACATTCCTTCAGGATTTTTGCCTAGAGATGCATCCCGCTCTAATCCTTCCCACTGGGTGTTCTATGATTAGTTTATTCTAATGTTTCCATGGTTACCTGGTAGAGCTTCATTGAAGTGAAGAATCGTCAGGGAAACCCAAGATTCGAACTCACCGCCCACACATTCCACTGCTGTGATACTTTTATGTGTGTGTTATGTGTGAGTGTGTCCAATTAAATTCCTGGCTAGACCCTCGCTAACTGTGTGTAGACTGTCTGTGCTCGTTTCTTTTGACCTTGTTACATTGTTTGTTTCATACTTGTGAACTCATTTGCATATTTATGCATATTGTGCCCATAGCCCGCCCGCTCTGCCTCCCAAGAAGCGACAGTCGGCCTCCTCCCCCACGCGTGTTGCCGTGGTAGCGCCGATGAGTCGAGGATCATGTGGTCTCAACCTGCCTCCTGGAGCCCTGAGACAGGTACGGCTCCTGGTCATGGCCCTTGAACTTTGACCTTTTGTAACAACCCTAATTTTGATTTCTTAACTTAAAAGTGAAGTATGTAATATTGAATGGTGTTTAAAATCGGTATTTTTATTGTTAACTGAAACCATTGAAAGCATTTTTGTTAATTGAACTAAAGTAAAATAAAATAGAAATATTTGATACAAAAATAAAAATAAATGAAAATGAACTGAAATAGGTTTAAGCTGAAGTACTAAAATGACTCAAATTCAAATAATAACTATATAGAAATTTTCGTGCTGTCAAATCGATTAATTGCATCTAGCATAAAAGTTTGTAAATATATGTGTGTCTATATATACACTCACCGGCCACTTTATTAGGTACACCTGTCCAACTGCTCGTTAACACTTAATTTCTAAGCAGCCAATCACATGGCGGCAACTCAGTGCATTTAGGCATGTAGACATGGTCAAGACAATCTCCTGCAGTTCAAACCGAGCATCAGTATGGGGAAGAAAGGTGATTTGAGTGACTTTGAACGTGGCATGATTGTTGGTGCCAGAAGGGCTGGTCTGAGTATTTCAGAAACTGCTAATCTACTGGGATTTTCACGCACAACCATCTCTAGGGTTTACAGAGAATGGTCCGAAAAAGAAAAAACATCCAGTGAGCGGCAGTTCTGTGGGCGGAAATGCCTTGTTGATGCCAGAGGTCAGAGGAGAATGGCCAGACTGGTTCGAGCTGATAGAAGGGCAACAGTGACTGAAATAACCACTCGTTACAACCGAGGTATGCAGCAAAGCATTTGTGAAGCCACAACACGCACAACCTTGAGGCGGATGGGCTACAACAGCAGAAGACTCCACCGGGTACCACTCATCTCCACTACAAATAGGAAAAAGAGGCTACAATTTGCAAGAGCTCACCAAAATTGAACAGTTGAAGACTGGAAAAATGTTGCCTGGTCTGATGAGTCTCGATTTCTGTTGAGACATTCAGATGTTAGAGTCAGAATTTGGCGTAAACAGAATGAGAACATGGAACCATCATGCCTTGTTACCACTGTGCAGGCTGGTGGTGGTGGTGTAATGGTGTGGGGGATGTTTTCCTGGCACACTTTAGGCCCCTTAGTGCCAATTGGGCATCGTTTAAATGCCACGGCCTACCTGAGCATTGTTTCTGACCATGTCCATCCCTTTATGGCCACCATGTACCCATCCTCTGATGGCTACTTCCACCATGTCACAAAGCTCTAATCATTTCAAATTGGTTTCTTGAACATGACAATGAGTTCACTGTACTAAAATGGCCTCCACAGTCACCAGATCTCAACCCAATAGAGCATCTTTGGGATGTGGTGGAACGGGAGATTCGCATCATGGATGTGCAGCCGACAAATCTGCGGCAACTGTGTGATGCCATCATGTCAATATGGACCAAACTCCCTGAGGAATGCTTCCAGCACCTTGTTGAATCTATGCCACGAAGAATTGAGGCAGTTCTGAAGGCAAAAGGGGGTCCAACCCGTTACTAGCATGGGGTACCTAATAAAGTGGCCGGTGAGTGTATATACACACACACACACGTATTTACATATACACAAATAACTTTTATGTTAGATGCAATTAATTGATTTGACAGCACTAATATAAAGAAAAAAATAAGAAATATATAATTTTATAAAACAAAACTAATTAAAACATTTTTTTGAATTATTTTAAAAACAAAAAATGTATGAAAAAGAAATAAAATGAGAAATTTATGATATGCAAAATAAAGAAAATACGATTAAAGTGGAAACTGATATAAATAAAGCTCATTTTTATATTGTGTATTTTAACATGACTGGAACGCTGATTTGACCAATCAGCATTCAGGATTGTAATGATCTGTTTAATAATTGGAAATTACCTATGACACCATTAATTAATAAACAATACTTTTATTAACATTAATTAATAAAAGTAATATTTTTTTTCATTTAAATTAATGTTAATTTCATATTCTATTTGTATTTATTCATTTAATAGTATTTTACCATTAGCCCTGTAGTTATTTTGCTTTATTTGCGCTGCTTTGGAAATACAAATGTACATTTTTCTGTCATGCCAATAAAGCAGACCAAATTGAAAAAATGCCATTTCATTTCAAGAGCATTAAACATCATCATAAAGACTAATTCCAAAACCTCATATAAGGGTTTTGCATGTCATTGTAATGTGCTTATTAAGTCAGTGTGATGATGATGTTTTGGTTGCATGTTGTGTGGCTGAAGCAGCAGGAGTTTGATGTGGATCTCCTCCAGAGGCGTTTCTCCGGCGGGAGCCAGTCGTACGGTGGGGATTCGCCCCGTCTCTCTCCCTGTAACAGTATGGGAAAGCTCAGCAAGTCCGACGAGCAGCTCTCTTCACTGGAGCGAGACAGTGGACAGTGCTCTCGCAACACTAGCTGTGAAACACTAGGTATACACACACTATTACACGGTTTGGTTTCTCCCTCCATTTCTGTCACCTGATGGAGTTTGGGTTCCTTGCCACGGTCACCTTTGGCTTGCTTAGTTGGGGTTTAAAAGACACTTAATATTCATTAAAGGAGAACTCCGGCGCAATATGAACCTTTGGTCTAATAAAAGATTGGTACCTAGTCAAACGTTCTCTGAGATTTGTTTTCATGATAATCGAATGTAAAGAGTTTTATCTCTAAAAACTGTTTAGCGTATAACGCTAGTAATGGGGGCATTTAATAAGTAAAAAGAAATCGCTAGTTTATACCACTAACAAGACTCAAAATAGCCCCACACGAACACAGTAACATAATGAGGGTCCCTACATGCAAAACGAAGCATTGAGAACTTTGTAAGTGTACAGACCGTTTAATAAGAAGATAAAGATAAAGACAGTCCACTTCGTGTATACAGACAGGAGCCATCTTTGGAAAACAGTCTCGACTAATCAAACCACGAACGACGTGCTAAGTGAGCTGAACTGTATAAATGGCGTTCGTGGTTTGATTAGTCGAGACTGTTTTCCAAAGATGGCTCCTGTCTGTTTACACGAAGTGGACTGTCTTTATAAAATATCTTCTTATTAAACGGTCTGTACACTTACAAAGTTCTCAATGCTTCGTTTTGCATGTAGGGACCCTCATTATGTTACTGTGTTCGTGTGGGGCTATTTTGAGCCTTGTTAGTGGTATTAACTAGCGATTTCTTTTTACTTATTATATGCCCCCATTACTAGCGTTATACGCTAAACAGTTTTTAGAGATAAAACTCTTTACATTCGATTATCATGATAACAAATCTCAGAGAACGGTTGACTAGGTACCAATGTTTTATTAGACCAAAGGTTCATTTTGTGCCGGAGTTCTCCTTTAATATCATCGATTTTGACACTATCAGATGTGAACAAAACTTGATCTGAATTGAGCTCAATAGCGACACTGTTGTCTTCTGTAGAGCTGCTTTATAGCTGAATCGAATTTGTGTTCATAATTGACACATTTTGCAACATCGACACTGTTATTAAATCAACATTGAACTGATTATAGCCGAATAATGTTACTATTGTCTTCTGTATCGCTGAATTGAACTCATTTCATAATTAATGAACTACACCGTTATTGAACCGAAGTGAATCAGCACTGTTGATAACGGCACTATTGTTTTTAGAGTTGTTTTACTGCAGAAATTGATTTGTTATTTTCCTGTTTATAAGAGCTACGTAAATAATGACTTCACTATTATGAATGTTTGAGTAAAAGTTGAAGGTTTTTGTAAGCTTACCTTGATTTGATCCTCTGCTTTTTTTCTATAGAGGGATACGATCCTGATTACGACTTCCTACATCAGGATCTGTCCGTCTCCGACCCGTTACCGTTTCCCACCGGCACTGGCAGCAGTCTGAGCCCTCTCCCAGAATGCCACGGGGAGTCTCAGTCATTAAGCCCCGCCCAGGCCCCGCCCACCCACCCGCGTTTCAGTGCTCCCGTCACCAATCAGGCTTCCCTGGAGTACTGGACTCCGCCCCTCGCACCTGGACAGACCAATAGGGTGCATCCACCCGCCCTCCCCCAGAAGAAGCGACGATCCGCACCCATCTTATCGGCGTACCCTCTTTACGAGCGCCTCCCATCGCACTACGATAACCTATCAGAAGAGGAGCAGCCCACGCCACCGTTCCCGCTGGTGACGCCAGCGTCTCCCCTTCCTCAGGTCAACGGCGGAGACGAACTCTCACAGTACACAGACGCCGACAGCCCGCCGCCGCTACCAGAGAAGAAGGGCAAACAGAGTAAGAGAAAAAGCTGCGCAAAGTGATAAATTCGCAGTCAGAAGAAATTCGATTTTTAATGAACGAGTGAATCTCATCCAGCAACACGCCTGGGTCTCATTTCACTCCAAAATAAATGCATAAGATATTATATTTTGCAAATGAAGCCATTTTTAGGACCTTTTAGGATTTTTATGCATTGCCACATCGTCACATGACCCTTCAGGAAATCAGTCTAATATTCTGATTTGGTCCTCAATTGTTATTAATTGTTGGTGCTTGTTTATCAATAATGTTTCTTATTATTATCAATGTTGCTTGCTTAATATTTTTATGGAAACTGATGTATTTTTCAAGATGAAGCAGCACAACTGTTTTCAACATTGATGATAATCAGAAATGTTTCTTGAGCAGCAAATCATCATATTAGAGTGATTTCTGAAGGATCATGTGACACTGAAGACTGGAGTAATGATGCTGAAAATACAGCTTTGATCACAGGAATAAATAACGTTTTAATATTAAACAGTTATTTTAAACAGTAACAATATTTCCCAATACCACTGTTTTTACTGTATTTTTTATTAAAATAATGCAGGCTTGGTGAACATAAGAGACTTGTTTAAATGATTCATTAGTTATTCAAACTTTTGACCGGTAGTGTATACTGTTTTTCAGTCATTTTTTATTGTGATACAGAATTAAAAACCAAGCAAATGCCTCTTTTTTTGCATGTTTAACTTTAGTTTTTTTCTCTGCAGTTCTGCAGTACATGCAGTTTGTGGAGGATTATTCGGAACCGCAGCCGTCCGTCTTCTACCAGACGCCTCAGAGCGAGAGTATTTACGAGCAGCGGAGGAACAAGCGCTTTCAGGAGGTTTACGGCTTCAACGACTCCTACAGCAGCTCAGACTCTGTGCATGAACCCGTCCCACCGCCAGCGCTGCCACCCAAACAGAGACAACTGGTGAGTTATCATCCAATGCATGTTATCAGTGACCTGTGCCTGAGGGCATTGAGCATGGAGCAGGTCAAAGGTTAAGCTCTGAGAGGTGAGAGGTCAAACTGGGGTTCTTTAGATTAGGCCCCATGTGACTGGTCTGGTGGACACGTCAGGGTCACTGTAAAGTCAAGTGGAAAACACGGATTAACTATGTTTTTTTTGTTTTTTGTAAAAGTGTTACAGATTAGATTAGATTCTTTACCAAACCGGAACTCTCATGCTGTGGGGAATTTCTGCCACGGCAGTTACACTTTATTTCAATGGTTCACTTTAGACGTTCTGATAACTATAAGTAACTTTGCAACTACGTGTCAACTAACTCTCATTAGAGTATTAGTAGTTGGGTTTGGGTTAGTAGAATAAGTTGACATGTACTTTAAAGTTACTTATAGTCAGGAGAATGTCTGTTGGGGAGGATCAGAATAAAATGTTATCAGATTTTAAGCAGACAGTCTACTAATACTCTAATGCAGGGCTGTTCAATTGGCGGCCCGTGGGTCAAATCCGGCCCGCCAATCGCCTCCATCCGGCCTGAGGGCACCCCCGCCTCCCTCCCCCTGTTTTTGCAGCCATGTATCTATCCAAATTTAGCCGCACCACCAGGAACGCGTTTCTCAGGTCAGTCGGAGCGCTTCGAGACGGGACACACCAAGCCGGCCGTCGGGCTGTTTTAGTCGGCTTCGTTTTTTTCTTTTTGTTTACTTCCGGTCCTGGACACCATTATTAAACAGCGCTGCGACATCCTGTGAGAAACATTATAATTTAACACACACCTCCGGTACAAACCACAAATCACTCGATGATTAAACTAGTTTTGAATCGGATGAAACAGCCTCAACATTCCCAACAAGACTGATGAGGGAAACAGGAGAAACATTGTGCTATGAACGAAGTAACTTTTCCTCTGCGGTCGCCCTACAGGTTGGAAGCGGAATTGTCCATTACCGCTGTCGTAAATAATTTAGCCTAGCGCAGCTACTGTCGCGCGCACCCTCGCTGTTTATCCAGCACCGGCTTTGGAATGAACGATGTCCACAGACGAGGTAGAGTATGTTGCATGATTTCATGAAAGTATGATGTATTGCGACATCAGAAATGAAGAAAAACAAAATAATGACTATTGTAACGCTTGACGTAAAGCAAGTCAAATTTGTAGTTTTCTTAAGTCTCATTTAGAACTACAGAAACGCGACCCGATCTGGCAATCTTACATAGCGTGGTTATAGCAGATATAGGACCGCAAAGCGAATCCAGAAGTGCCTTTGACCCTGTTACGACTTAATGAACCACTGAAACGATTTTGGAAACATTATTTTAAGGTAAAAAATCTTACTTAGTGTTGCTTTAAAAGACTTTTAAATCCCCAAATCACCACCTTTATTTACCATGAATGTACTGTAGTAACACTGACTGTATTTACCATGGTTTGGGTGGAAATGTGCATTTTTACATTACATACTATGTTATAGTCATTTATATTGCATTAGATTTATTAGGTAGGTAGGGGAATATAATAATTTTTGTTAAGAAATTATGGCAGTTTGTTCATGAAAATTTGTGTATAGATTTTACCTGTGTTTAGGCGTTTTTATTATATAGCGTATAGATTCATAATATCATTTGACAGTGGTAGCGAGTAGCCATGCATGCTTTTACCTGTGGTTTCCAAGTTAGTCTCACTGTCAGAATATTTTCATTTAAGCCTATAATAATTATGAATATTGACTATGGTCTTTTATCTGCGTACTGTTGGGTATCAAGTTCCAAGTAAATACAATACTTTTACTTTGTAGGTTTACTTAAGCGTATTTATTAAAACTGTTATGTTATATATATATATATATATATATATATATATATATATATATATATATATATATACACTTACTTACTGTAGACACACAAACACATGTTGCCTTTAAACCAGCTTCTACTTTTTTCCAGCTGAGTTAATATAACTCTCTTTGCTTTTCTTACTTTTTAACCTGATTTCTTCTTATTTTCTTTCCTCTGTCTCTCTTCTTCCTGTTCCATGTTTCTGTCTTGTGCTCTAGGCCTCCTATACCTCTCCTTCTTCATCCTCCTCTTCCTCTTTTTCAATTCTCCCTCCTCCTGCTGGGCTTCTGGAGGAGGCGGAGCCTGCTCTTGGTCTCAGCCTATCAGTGTCTAACTCCTTCCTCAGTGGCCACGCCTCTTTGACCACGCCTGTGGTGAGTGAGCAGTTTAGGAGTGGAGGGAAAAGGACATGTAAACAATTCAAAAGGATTTTTTGTTTTCCTCTTTCAAAATTTTAAGAAGTTTAGTGTGTTTAGAAGAAGTGTGTTAAGTATTTCAGGGCTAGTATTTAATAATAAAATGAATATATATACAGAATATTCATGAATGAAGCCTATTATACTCTGTACGTCTGCTTGTGTGTCTGTATTCAGTGTGTTCTGGTCATTCTGTGTGTGGTTTCGGCAGACATGTGCTCTTCATATGGTTTTGTCATCATTTTTAACATGTCTCCCTGGGGTGGTTATTAAACCGCTGTTCAGATGCGACTTAAAGATTATTTATGGAGTTTGCGCGTCCACTTTGCCCTTTTGGGTTTTATTTGGTGACTTGGAACCAGAACCAAAGCTGAATTAAAGTCTCAAATCTTATCTAATCTTAATTTATCTGATTATCTGGGTTTAAGGTTTAAATCCATGGCTTATCAAAATGCTGTTTAATCTTCATGTTACTCAAGTTTTTTATTAGTCTTGACATTTAGAATGTCATTGGGTTTTTAAAAAATCAATTTTCATTGATTTTATACAGTTATTTTCAGCAATACATCTAAGATGACCAGCTCTTTCCGCATGTTTCTCACGATAGCTTATGAAGATTTGTGATATTTTGTCTAGAATTTCAGATTCTACTGTTGATAGTATCATCCAAAGAAAAAAAAACGTATGTACGCCCAGATATGACATGTTTCTAGCATCAAATTTTTCTGTCCTCACTGAAAGTGTGGGTGTATATGCTAATGCTATGAAGAAAATATACCATGAAGATGCTGAAAGAGTCTGTTATTGCTAGTGTTATTATTGTTTACTAAAACTATTAAACTATTAATCGAAATAAAGCTAAAATAAATGATATATATAAGAATAAATAATACATATACAAGTTGAAGTTAAAGTACTAAAGTTACTAAATCTGAAATAAATACAAATATAAGATTAAATTTATTGAAAAAAAATCTAATATGACATAAGCACATTACAAAATAACTAAAAAATTTAGTTAAAAATGAAAACTGAAAATATAAAAATAAAAGCTAACTCAAAATATGAATAAATACTACACTGGTTGTCACTGAGATCAGCAAGCTGTTGTTTGGAGTGTTTCTCCCTAGTGATGAGTTTTTTTAAACTAGTTTGTCATGGTAACGGAATCTGGGAATTGTTCTGGAATGTTCTTTGCTCTTGACCCCTGACCTTAGAGGTCAGAGAAGAAGCAATATGATGTTTATGTGTGTGTGTGTGAGTGAGTGAGTGAGTGCCTAAGGAAAGTCTTAACCATTTCGTTCAGTAAAGTGTGTGTGTGTGTGTGTGTGTGTGTGTGAGGCTCCATATGTATTTTTCCCCCCTCTTTCTATCTCTTTTCCTCACTCCCTCCTCTGAGTCTCTGTGGAATGCTTACATTCCAGAATGTCACAGATGGAATAGAATGGGGGAAGCTCTTCCCGATCTCTCCGGGAAACATGTTGGACCATGTTTGTTGAGCTGTGTGTGTGATGGGATGAATTGGAATGTTGTTGCTGGTGTTCCAGGCGAGTCCCTGCAGGTGTTTTAATCCCTCTAAGCAACATCCGGAAGTTCCGCCAGGATTTGACTTGTCCAGCGGTGTGTGTTGTATTGCCTGATAGAGTTTGTTCTCTCTTTAGTGGGTGGTTACTAATTTAAACTCGCTGTCCTCTTGCTATTTTACACAGAATAGAACATATCTCCGTTCTCCTGTCTTTTTCCTTCTTTTCAGATTTATTCCAAATACTTCGTCTGATTACATCTTTCCTCTCCCATTTCTTCTCTTTTCTTCTGTTTCCACCAGTCGCAGAGTTCTGACCCGATTGGCTTGACCAATGCCGGCAGAGCTCTAGATGGTGGGGCTGGTGTCTCTAACGGGTCCTTGACCAGCTCTCTGGTCTCTCTGGCCGTCTGTCTTCCTTCTGAGTCTTCTCTTTCTGACTCGCTTCTTACCTCCGCGGTAAACACACTCAAGAACACACACAAACACACACACACACACACACTCAAGAACACACACACACACACACACACACACACTCAAGAACACACACACACACACACTCACTCAAGAACACACACTCACTCAAGAACACACACTCACTCACTCACTCACTCTCTCTCTCTCTCACACACACACACACACTGAAGAACAAACACACTCTCAAGAACAAACACACATTTCAGTAATTATCGGAATATGGGCTTCTATTGTTTTTAAATAAAGCAAATTATAATAATTAGTCCTTAATAACCATGCCTTTGCATTTCGAACTAAAAATAAAACATTTATTTATTAACTATTTTGGTAACACTTTACTTAAAGCCTTTATGTATAATAAAAAAGGCGTTAATAATGCCTTATGCACCTTATAATACATTGTATGATCTTGTGAATAATTGCAACCACCGTTCTAACACTTATCTATTCATTGTTACAGCTTTATAATGTTTAATTCTTCAAAACACATAACCAATATCAGATTTTCAAAGAATCTATGAATATTTATTATGCATTATTTTGTTGTGATTATTTATAAAAAGATATAATGCATTATAACATACATTATGAACACATTTACAATGCGTAATACACGAAGGCTTTATGTAAAGTGTGACCACTATTTCTTCCACTTAAGACGTCCCCAAAAGGAAGTGCAGTTTTGTCTGAAAAGCATAGATATTTTTATGAACACACATGAAAAATGATACTTTATACTTTATCTCAGCTTTTCCTGAAAATATAATATGGACTGGAGCATTATATGCACTTCCTTGTGAGTGTTTATTTGTTGTTGTAAAAAAACAACCAAAAAAACCATTATGGAAGAATGTTATATTAAGAAAATATTGTAAATGTGTGTGCATCAATGCCATCTAGTGGTAAACATATTCTAGATGTCATTTGTGTCTTATAACTTCAGTTTTCAGTGAAAAAGATAGGTGTGCTATTGCTTTTTTAAACAGATTGGACAATTTTCACATGTGGGACAATAAAATGGGGTCCTGGGCAGTGTTATTGTGATATTAATATAGTTTCTGTTCATATTTTGGATTAAATTCTATTTTTCTATTTTCTGTTTTCATTTTATTTGAGTAATTTTGTTGTTGTTTTTCTTAATCTATATAGTTTTTAGTTTTGGTTTTTACAGAGCCCCTAAACTTAAGGGACATAATGATGGAAAAATGATGAGAAGGGAGGAAAAATTATATTTCAATGCTCTTGCGTTCTTGCACAAAAGTTTTGCGTTCCCCTGAGAAAACTTGTGTTTGTGTTTTGCGAATGTTTATTCTTCCATTCTCAAATTTTATTCCATCACCATGTGCCTTTAGGGGTCTGGAAGTTTTAGTTAGTTTAGTACTTGCCTTTGCCACTAACTGCAATGAAATAAGTTTTTTTTGTTTCAGCTAATGTTTATTTTATTTCAAGTAATGTAAATGCCTTTTTGCGTGCTTTTAGTTTTAGGGAATGTTTACACGACCACAGTGTACCACAAATGGAAAAGTTTTTCCTTTGCGTTTTTCGCGTACAGACGACAACGTTGTCAAAATGATCCCTATTCACACGGATCTGCGAAAATTACTAAAACACTGTATTATTCATGCCAGGCCAGTAGTTGGCGATGTCACTTTTTAAAGAAACAGTACGCGCCTATAGACTGAACACGTAATACTCATGCGCACGATGTCACCGCTTTCACAAATTCGAGTTTTTGTAGTTTACACGGAGACGAGAACGGTATTGTTTTATTAAAAAAACGTGCACTTTGACACCCGTTTTCAAAAGTTTGTGTTTTCAGGCCCCCAAAACGCAGTTGTTGTGTAAATGAACGGCCAAAATGCATAATTTTTTACAGTTTTTAGTTTAAAAAAAAATGTATTAAGTTAATAATAATAATAATCCTGGTCCTGAGTCCTATCTAGAGACCAGAATATCATAAGCAACCACCCAAAGCTCATCCTTAGCGTAGTGGCAGCACTTTTGTGTCTTGAGACAAACCATGAGCAGCTTGAACAATGTGTGTATGAAGGTGTGTATTGGATGCCTGCCTGTCCCAGTTGTGACGTTTGTCCCTGTTGTTTTTGCTATAGAGTGAAAGTGTTGATGAAGGTGGCGAGGGAGAGTATGTGAACCTGTACTCGTCCACACAGGCTAACGGAGACAACACACACCGCACTGTAAGTGCCCATGTGTGTCATTGTGTTAAGGTGTGTGTGTTTGGAGGAGTGTAATTCTATTTTTTACTTCTTCAGGACACGTCTTCATGTGATGATGGGCTTCAAGACCACACCCCTCACATACCCACGTCCAATAGCAAGGAAGCATTGTCTAAGGACAGGTGTGGAATCAGGTCTTTGTGCTTGTGTGTCGTGCTTTGGGCAGGTTTAAGAGATGTGTAAATGTGTGTGTAATGTTTTCTCTCGCTCACAGGCCGAAAGAACCCAGTCATGGTCAGATAGATGATGTTGATGAATTATCCCTCATTGATCATAATGACATTATGGACCGCATCACGCTCAAAGCAGAGGTAATAATAAAGCTTTCATGAACTGTACAAAACCTTTATTAAACATCCTAAACCAAAAGCCAGGAACAATTAATACCTGGAAATATTAGGATTGATTGATTGATTGATTCATTCATTTCTGCTAATTAGTTTTGCATTTGTGCATTTGTTTTGTTTTTCATTTATTTTCTCATTTTTATATATAATTAGTTTTTTGTCTATATAGTTTTTATAACTTTAAGTTTGTTTTGTTTTAGTTAATTTGGTACTTAAATTTGAACTAAATGAAAATGATAAATGTTGCCTTTTTTATATATATATCATTTTATTTCTGTTAATATTTATTTTATTTCAAGTAATGTAACTTATTTATGGTTTTGGTTAACAATAATAACCCTGCTCCTGGGTCAAAATTAATAATAAATAATAAAATAATAATAAAGTCATAGATAAAGATTTTTTTTTTTTTTTTTTTGCTATTCCAAGTTATAAACTATTTCGTCGGGTAGAAATGGGGGTAATGTCTTTAAAATTGGACAACTCCATATCCATTAACTAGTGATAAGTCATGGAAATTAATGTAAAAAGGGTGGGAACTCTTTTTATAATAGTGGGAACTCTAAAATAGTTTAGCATTAAATTAGTAGTTACTTAACAGATAATAAAACTGTAGAAGTACAAATAGTATGTAAATAGAAAATCAGATAAACATAATTTACAAACTATTGCTGCACAATTCTGGATAAATTGAGAATCGCAATTTTTTTTGTTGTTGTTTAAAAAAGAGATCACGAGTCTCCCTCGATTCTGAGGTTCTGACAATTGCTGCAGTATATTTAATATGAATATTAACGTTATCATTAAATCATATATAAAAAGGTTTGAATGAGTGATTCATTGAATCACTCATAAAGACTTCACTTGCTTCATTACTGGATAAATCAGCGTTTTTGAACGAATCTCTTGATTGAATTAACAGTCACTTGTCGCCATTGTCATTGATACAATCGTTATTTGAAGTGTCAAGTTACTTTCAAAAGGTGATTTACTTTATTTTGATTGCTACTGTAGACATCAGTGTTTATATCTGAACTATAAACTTTTTTTATCCAAGCACTTCTGTGATCATCTGAATTATTGTAACACAGAAATAATGATACTGTGGGGTTGAAAAGTGGTACGTTTACGCAGTGTTGGGGAGTAGTTAACTACAAGTAGCGACGCTACTAACTTAACTACATTTTTCAGTAGCTTGGCAGTAGCTCAGTTGCTTTTTAAACAGTGTAGCTTTTCCAGTAGCTAACTACTTTTTGCAGCAAGTAGCGGTGTAGCGCGAGCAAAAGCTACATTGCGTTTTGTCGAGCCTGCGCGAATCAGCGCGATGCAAGGATATTCTTCTTCTTGTTAGATTACAAACTAATTTTTTGCCATTACCGCCACCTGTTGTTTAATCACGCATCTTGCGGCTAACGGTTCACGTACAGAAGTGGGTTGACACAGCCCATGATGGAGCAAGACGTGGCGGCAGATTTGGAGGATGGAGAAACAACTAACGTTAATTACCCATGGCCTTATTTGTCCAAGTTCATGTCTCTCAAAGAAACGACAAGTAAAGGTTACACTTTTGTATGCAATCTTTGCAAACCAAAGTTTAAAACGCTGTCTACGTCGAAGACCTCAAGCACAAATTTAAGGACGCACATACAGTAATGGCCATTTTAAATGTATTAATTATCCTGCTTTATTGCTCTCTATGTTACATCAAATTTCTATTTCTGATTTAATTACCATGATCTGTCTGCCAGTTTGGTAATGAACATAAAAGACCACTAACGTTTGCGCCATCGTATTTATCAGTTGAACAAAAAATGTAATCTTAGTTTGTTTATCGGACGACAAAGGCTTTGATCTAATTAAATTGCTGAATAGATTTGTTGTGACTGGTTTCAGAGCGAATTGTTTTGAAAACTACATATTTTACTTAAAACATTCCTCAGACACTTATTCAGTTATTTATAATATACGTTGTTCAAAAAAAGCAAAAGTAGTTTCAATGTAGCTAGCTACTTTTTGATAGTAACTTGTAGTGTAGCTAACTACTTTTCCAAAAGGGTAGCTTGACTGTAGTTTAACTACTTTAACTTGCGAGTAGCTTGTAGCTTGTCAAACTACAGTTTCAGAGTAGCTTCCCCAACACTGCGTTTACGTTTGCTTGTCAAAGGTGTAATAGATACAGGAGAATCGTTGTCATTTAGGAATAAGATTGCGATCTTTTAACGCTCAACCGTGCAGCTCTACACGCTTATCAAATGTGTGAATATGTGAAATGAAATATTGATTTAGGTTAAAAATATGTTTCATAATGGGTAAAGAAAGAGGAATCAGGTCCACTAGGTGTAAATTTGATGTGTTTTTTGATAAGATCATAACTGGAGTGTATGTCCTCTAGCGTTTTGAGAGTAATTCTGTAGTGGTTGATGGTTAAAGTCTAAAACACACACACACACACACCGTCAGCTGGTGCAGTGCCACGGGCTGAGCTGGACTTCAGTGAGCTGCAGTAATAACTCTCTCTCTCTGATAGAATGATGATGGTCCTGATGTGAGAGCCGGTTCTGGTGATATACTGTTGGTTCACGCTACAGAAACAGACCGCAAAGGTAATCCACATCCTTTCTTCATGTGAACATGGTTCAGTGTTATGCATATGTGTGTATATGTGATGTTATTCCTACTGTATCTGTGTGTGATGGAGGTTTGCTGTATATCTTGAGTGTATTTTAATTCTATTCCTCTGTTTGCTGTAGATTTGGTGTTGTACTGTGAGGCTTTTCTCACCACCTACAGAACCTTCATAACACCCGAAGACCTCATTAAAAAACTTCACTACAGATATCCTTTCAATCGCATGATCTGTTAGCAGCAGTCAGTCTGCATATGTGTGTGTGTGTTTCTTAACTCCGCTGCACATACACACGCTTCTGTCACAGTCCAGACACCTTCAAGAAGCGTGTCAGTAAAAACACGTTCTTCGTGCTGGTGAGAGTCGTGGACGAACTCTGGTGAGGAAATGCACATGATACAAACTTCTCATTATCAAGCTACACTAACTATGGTTGCTAACTATGTTAGGAATATATGTTTTTAATTTTATTATAGCATTTTATTTAGTCAAAGCAGTATCTGCCACAAACACAGTTGGGGACTTTCAGAATCGAACCAAAACATGAAGCAGCACAAATGTTTCCAGCGTTGATGATAATAATAAGAAATGTTTCTTAGCATATCGGTTCGTCCAGACGATTTATTCAAGGAACTTGATCAAATGATTAATTAATTGAGCCATGACTCAGTTGTAATGTTCCCCGATGTTTCTTCTTGTGTCTTTTGTTTGTAGCGAAATAATATTGAAATAAGGATTTTTTTCAAATTGAATAGCTATTTAGTGTATACACTATTGAATATATTTAGCACTTTTTTAAAAAGTCTCTTCTGCTCATCAAGGCTGCATTTATTTGATCAAAAATACAGTAAAAACGGTAAAATTGTGAAATATTTTTACAATTTAAAATAACTGTTTTCTATGTGAATATATGTTAAAATGTAATTTATTCCGGTGATCAAAGCTGTATTTTCAGCATCATTACTCCAGTCCTCAGTGTCACATGATCCTTCAGAAATCACTCTAATATGACGATTTGCTGCTCAAGAAACATTTACTATTATTATCAATGTATAAAACAGTTGTGCTGCGGAATATCATTGTGGAAACCATGAAAAGAAAGTTCAAAACAACTGCATTTATTTGACTCTGTCCAAGCAAAAAAGATCTTACTGATCTCAAACTTTTGAATGGTATTGAATGATCATGTGATCTGTGTGTCAGTCTGGTGGAGTTGACCGAGGACATCCTGCGGCAGTTGATGGATCTGGTGTTTCGGCTGGTCTGTAACGGGGAACTGAGTCTGGCGAGGGTCCTGCGAAAGAACATCCTAGATAAAGTGGAGCAGAAGAGGCTCCTGAGGCACGTGCACACGCTCAAGCCTCTCGCCGCGCGGGGCGTCTCTGCCAGGTAAAGGTCAAAGTTCAGGGGTCATCGGGGATGTTCTCATCTTTGCACGTTTGTTTCGTGTTTAATTGGCTCTCTCTCCGAAGGCCCGGCACGCTGCACGATTTCCGCAGTCATGAGATCGCCGATCAGCTGACGTTGCTGGACGCAGAACTTTTCTACAAGATCGAGGTGACAAACACAGACTTTTTTATCTGATGTGATAATGGAATTTTTTGATTTTTTTTTGATTTGTGGGTGTAAAAAGTGATGCACAATAACCTGTTGTCATCTCTGTCTTCAGATTCCTGAGGTGCTGCTTTGGGCAAAGGAACAGAACGAAGAGAAAAGTCCAAATCTGACCCAGTTTACAGAGCACTTTAACAACATGAGCTACTGGTACATATTTACTGATACTCACTACACTCTTAGTACAACATACATTTGTTCCCTATATGTGCATCAAGGGCCCTGTGATTTCTGCCATGGTAAAATCACAATGGCAGAATTGTAGAATCCAGTCTTAAAAATGGAATTTACAGTATTGCATGATGGAATGTCACAGAATTGGGACATTTTGGATACATAAATCAAAAGTAGGGCTGAACACTTAATCAAATCATAATATCTACTACTGTTTGTGAATACTAAAGCACTAAAGACTGGTGATTAAATATAAGGGCTTCACACTTTTACTTCAATGTTTTAATTTTAACAGTAAACAGAATTTTTGTATAGCTTTTCATTTTGTATTTTAATTTTAGTTATAGTAATTTTGTTTTGTGCTTTTGTCATTTTTATATATTTTTTTATATTTCTATTTATCTCTCATTTCTTTATCAAATATGAAGCCTGCACGCTTTTACTTCCATGTTTTAATTTTAACAGTAAACTGAATTTAAAAAAATCTTTATATACTATTATAGTATTTGGAATAAGCTTTTATTTTCATATTTTCAGTTTTTATTTTAATTTTAGTTTTAGTAATTTGTTTTGTGCTTTTGTCAATTTTATTATTTCTCTTTATCTCTAATTTAGTCTGCTCACTTTTACTTCCATATTTTAATTTTAACAGTAAATGGATTTGTTTTTAGACAAAAACTATTATTTATATACTATTAGAGTATTAATCAGTATTTTGATTAAGCTTTTATTTTAAAAAATATATATATTTTAGTTTTAATTATTTTTTTGTGTTTTTGTAATTTTTATATTTCTATTTATGTCTAATTTAAACGTAATGCCAAAACATGTAAATTCGACGTAGTTTTCCTGTATCTACCCTGAATTAGCTGCTGTGTGGACCACACATGTATGTAGATCGCTTTAAATCTGGCAATGGAGGACTTCCTGCACACTATAACCCTGTATACTACACCCTCATGCCCTACATATTCCCCATACTCACTCAGTGTTTGTGTACTCAAGTGTAATTCCTCCTGTCCACTAGGGTGCGCTCTATAATCATCCAGCAAGAGAAAGCTCAGGACAGAGAGAAACTGCTGCTCAAATTCATCAAAATCATGAAGGTAAACCACAGTTGACTAGAGTAACACACACATACATGAACACTTCCTCTGCTTTCTGAGTGATTTAATGTTTTAATCTGGTCCGTAGCACTTGCGGAAACTGAATAACTTCAACTCTTATTTGGCGATTCTCTCGGCGCTGGACTCTGCACCAATCAGACGCCTGGAATGGCAGAAGCAGACGTCTGAGGTCAGTCAAACAAACTGATTAAAGTCCACACGTCGTCCTCACTGCTTAAGTTAGCATAACTAAAGAAAATCATTCAATAAAAGCTGTTTTTACAACAACAACAAAAATGTATCTCCCTTTTCCTGTCTTTTTCCAGGGCTTGGAGGAGTACTGCACTTTGATTGACAGCTCGTCATCTTTCCGAGCGTACAGAGCAGCTCTAGCCGAAGTGGAGCCGCCATGTATTCCCTACCTGTGAGTTTGTGCTTGAAACAAAACTTAGTTAGAAAATGAACTGAAATGGAATAAAGCAAATGAATGATTTAAAGTCTTCCCTCTCAGCCTCAAGAACGCTTATCAACGCATTATCTGGCGAAATCTGCCTGTTTTACAACTTTTCAGAGTTAGAAAAGCAGTTTTATGAGGTTCATGACATTCAATTTTGACCTGCATAGTAAAAAATGTAGCATTTTTATATACACTATTATAGAATGTATTAATCAATATGTTGAATTGGCTTTTATTCTTATGGTTTCAGTTTTTAATTTAAGTTTTTAGTACTTTTGTTTTGTGCTTTTGTCATTTTATTAGTTTTTATATTTCTTATTTAGCTTTCATCTATTTTTATTTCAGTTAATTTGTTATTCAGTTCATTTTATTTCAACCTATTTATTTCTGTTAGTTTCTGAGGGAACATTTCTGATTTTTCTTTGTTTAAGTATATGTTTTCTATTTAATATTTATTCTTTATTTTATTTCAACTTGATTTCAATTACCAACAATATTTTTTATAGTGTTGGTGTAGTTAACAATATTCTATGAATCTGCTGAATTCAACAAAAATGTATTATTATTAGATAATTTCATTGCTGAAACTAAAATGATATTGCAAGCAAATAAAAAAAAGGTAATATTTAAATGCAAAGATATGCAAAACTCTATGAATCTGGGTGTAGTAGTGTAGAAGGTAATGTAGTAGTTTAGCTAATAATGTTATTTTGTTCCCTGACAGGGGTTTGATCCTACAGGACCTGACGTTTGTTCACCTCGGAAACCCGGATTTTATTGAGGGTAAAGTGAATTTCTCCAAGCGCTGGCAGCAGTTCAACATTCTGGACAGCATGAGACGCTTCCAGCAAGTGTGAGTAAAGCGCTGACGTCTGACTACACCTGATTCACACTGCACTTCACTCTTACAGACTTAGAATAAAGCAATGAGCCATTAAAGGCTGTGGTCAAATCAAACATCGCTCATTTGGTCACATTTTTATGGAGGCCCATTTGTGCCAAAAATGAAAATTCTGTCATAATTAACTAAACCTCAATTTGACCCAGACCTGAATGAGTTTCTTCTTCTGAACACAAAAGAAGATATTTTGAAGAATGTTGGAGACCAGACAGATGATGGCCCCGATGACTTCCATAGTAGGAAAAAAATACAACAGAAGTCAATGGGTTTCCATCAACTGTCTCCAACATTCTTCAAAACATCATCTTTTGTGTTCAGAAGAAGAAACTCATTCAGGTCTGGGACAAATTGAGGTTTAGTTAATTATGACATAATTTTCATTTTTGGCACAAACAGCCCTCCATAAAAATGTGACCAAATGAGCGATGTTTGATTTGACCACAGCCTTTAATGGCTCATTGCTTTATTCTAAGTTTTCAACATTCTTCCAAACATCATCTTTTGTGTTTGATAGTTTGATAAGTGATAAGATACTAAGTCATTGAGATCAGCTGAAATTGACTCATAATTGGCAGTCGAAATTACAACAACAACAAAAACAGACATAAGAAGTATCTCATAATTTTGACTTGTCATAATTGTTTTTTTTTAAATCATCATTCGACTTGCCATGATAATAACTCTCATTATGAGATTAAAAATTATGACAGTCATGATTACATAAAAAATTCCAAATCAATTGGCAGTCATAATTATGATATAAAAAGTTGAAATTATAAGTTACTTAGTCATTGAGATAAAAGTTGAAATTGACCAACAACAAAAAAACAACTGACAACTGTCATATGTGGAAAAGTCAAAATTATGACAAAAAACATAATTCTGACATACAAAGTATCTCATAATTATGACTGTCATAATTTCAACTTGTCATGATTATAACCAAGTCATTATGACAAAAAACTATTATGACAGTGATAATTATGATATAACTTAATAAAATTAGGATATAAATTAGGACATTAAAGTTATAATTATGTCATAAAAAGTTTAAACTGTAATTTTTTTATAAGGTTTATATTAATGCTATATTATTGTAGTATACCTTTCATATATCAGTAGCCGATTTCACCAGTAACTGATTAAAAAAGGATTCATTTCAGTGATTAATTTTTTATCTCAATTGTCTTTGTAGACACTACGAGCTGAAACGTAACGACGACATCGTCTCGTTCTTCAACGACTTCAGCGATCACCTGGCGGAGGAGGCGTTATGGGAACTCTCGCTCAAGATCAAACCACGAAACATCTCGCGGCGCCGGACAGAGCGCGAGGAGAAGACCTAGAGCCTCAGAGACGATATACGGTGAGACCTGAACCTCCTGCAGAACCTTGGGAACCCACGCTACAGTTCTGGGCTGAACCGAGACACGCAAGCTACAATTTGCACCGATAAAACATTGGCAGACATTGGCAGTATTTTCCCCGATTGTTGACTTAAAAAAATTCCCCTCACGAGGGGAATCCTAATATACAATATACAAATATACAGATACGCACGCTCAAGAGGACCCGAACGCTGTGATATAAAGCAACTTTTTTATGTTTATGTGTACAGAAAGACGCACTCTAAGAGGGCTTGGTTCATTTGATATTAATACACTGTGCCTGATGGAGTGAGTTCATGTTTGCTTGTCCCATTCGGACGTAACGTTTGGCCTTCCAAAGGTCAGTCACCTGATGATGCGCCCACTGGGTCGACCTGCAGTCACCGTTCAGACCATATGATTGGGAAACGGGCAGACGTGTGCAATCTTATAACCGTATATAAGGAATATTCTCTGATCTGTTCAAATTAATGTTTTGACAGACACGGCGGGTAATGTATAAGTGGAATATATTAATTTGAAAATTAAAGAACGAACTGGACGTTTGGACTCATTTTTCACGTCATCTTGCTATATTGTTTTGTGTGTGACCATGTGCAAGTTTATTATAACTGTTTACCCCGTCACAGCCCATCGAGTCCCACGGGAACGTGTGCGTTTTCACCTTAAAACAAAAAAAAAACTGTTTATATGTACAATTCGCATTGACATTATTTTCATGACGGTTTCTTTTCATGTATATTTCTTCCTCTTACCAATTTTCAATAGCTTGCACAATGCGAAATGCCAAAAGAAAAATGTAAAGTGCATTTATGAGGTACAAACAAAATGGTAGTATTTGTACTGAATTTATGGTAATTTAATTTTAAAGGGAAAAATATGTCACATTCATCAAACACGAGCAGAACAAATTAAAAAAATGCGAGTTGTTCGTAAAGCCTTTTTATGCAATTTTTTCAGAAGTTTATGCAAGTTTATTCATTACACAAGTTGTTGCATTCAGTTCAATACATAAGACATGTTTTATAAACACAAAATCATTTGTTTTGCTCATGCTTCATGAATGAGGCTTATGGGAAAAGGCTTGATATTCATGAAAATAGTGTCATAATGCAAAACTTTACCCTAATGGTCCCAAAAATAGCCTTTTTTTCTTTTTTTCAAAGTTAATTTATCATTTTTTGTCCTTTGATTATTGTCAAAGAGTGACCCGAACATTTGCCGGAGCAGACTATGATGTCACAGAGAGGGGCGGGGCTTAGTTTGACGGCGTGCATGTGGATGATTTTGATTCTTTTGGGATGTGTATTATATTATGTTCTGTATAAATGTACATGTACAGTTGTGATGTATAATCTCCTATCATGTAGAGGGCAGTTACGAGGAAATATATTTTCAAACCAAATGAGTCGTGCACTAAAATAACTAACATTATGAGGCAAAAAACACAAGGACTGAATATGCTGTGATCTCTGGGCGTCAGAGAGTGTGTGAGTGCGAGTGTGTGTGTGTGAGCGTGTGTGCGCGCGCATGTGGTTTTTTTACAGAACGTTGTTATTCACTTACGGGAGAAAGGAAGCTAAACAGGCTTTCTTCAGTGTGTATTGTGTGGCGTCTTGAGATGTTGACGTTTACTGACTCCTGGGATTTTTTTTTCCTGTTACACCTTTAACATCCTGTATATTCAACCACCAATAAAACTGCTCTCTTTGTATTGCGTTTGTATTTTTCCAACACTACATTTAGCTCGTGTTTACAACTACAAAAAGTGCCACAGCATTCCCATGTTTAATGGTTATGCCACCATGATATTTTGTTAAATAGACCACTGTTCAGAAGAGGTCAGTAAGATTTTTAAAAAAAAAAATTTTTTAATACTGTTGTTCAGCAAAGATGCATTAAATTGTTCAAAAGTGACAGTAAAGACATGTATAATATTACAAAACATTTCTATTTCAAATAAATGCTGTTCTTTTGAACAAAGAACCCTGGAAAAATCTGCATATTAAAATGATTTCTGAAGGATCATGTGACACTGAAGACTGGAGTAATGATGCTGAAAATTCAGCTTATATTTTATAATACATTCAAATATATATACACTCACCTAAAGGATTATTAGGAACACCTGTTCAATTTCTCATTAATGCAATTATCTAATCAACCAATCACATGGCAGTTGCTTCAATGCATTTAGGGGTGTGGTCCTGGTCAAGACAATCTCCTGAACTCCAAACTGAATGTCAGAATGGGAAAGAAAGGTGATTTAAGCAATTTTGAGCGTGGCATGGTTGTTGGTGCCAGACGGGCCGGTCTGAGTATTTCACAATCTGCTCAGTTACTGGGATTTTCACGCACAACCATTTCTAGGGTTTACAAAGAATGGTGTGAAAAGGGAAAAGTATCCAGTATGCGGCAGTCCTGTGGGCGAAAATGCCTTGTTGATGCTAGAGGTCAGAGGAGAATGGGCCGACTGATTCAAGCTGATAGAAGAGCAACTTTGACTGAAATAACCACTCGTCACAACCGAGGTATGCAGCAAAGCATTTGTGAAGCCACAACACGCACAACCTTGAGGCGGATGGGCTACAACAGCAGAAGACTCCACCGGGTACCACTCATCTCCACTACAAATAGGAAAAAGAGGCTACAATTTGCAAGAGCTCACCAAAATTGGACAGTTGCCTGGAAAAATGTTGCCTGGTCTGATGAGTCTCGATTTCTGTTGAGACATTCAGATGGTAGAGTCAGAATTTGCCGTAAACAGAATGAGAACATGGATCCATCATGCCTTGTTACCACTGTGCAGGCTGGTGGTGGTGGTGTAATGGTGTGGGGGATGTTTTCTTGGCACACTTTAGGCCCCTTAGTGCCAATTGGGCATCGTTTAAATGCCACGGCCTACCTGAGCATCGTTTCTGACCATGTCCATCCCTTTATGGCCACCATGTACCCATCCTCTGATGGCTACTTCCAGCAGGATAATGCACCATGTCACAAAGCTCGAATCATTTCAAATTGGTTTCTTGAGCATGACAGTGAGTTCACTGTACTAAAATGGCCCCCACAGTCACCAGATCTCAACCCAATAGAGCATCTTTGGGATGTGGTGGAACGGGAGCTTCGTGCCCTGGATGTGCAGCCGACAAATCTCCATCAACTGCAAGATGCTATCCTATCAATATGGGCCAACATTTCTAAAGAATGCTTTCAGCACCTTGTTGAATCAATGCCACGTAGAATTAAGGCAGTTCTGAAGGCGAAAGGGGGTCAAACACAGTATTAGTATGGTGTTCCTAATAATCCTTTAGGTGATATATATATTTAAATTGTAATATTTCACAATATTACAGTATTTTTAATCAAATAAATGCAGCATTGGTGAGCAGAAGAGACTTCTTTCAAATATTACTTACTGACCCCAGACTTTTGAATGCTAGTGTATCTTTAAGTAAATATCGTGGTCAACGAATATGGTAATCATTCAGTAAGTATCATGTCACTACCATGGTAATACCTTGTTGAAATATCTTGCATGTAAATGAACATTACAATCAATTCAGTACCATGGTACATTACCTTCATTTGTATAGCGCTTTTCATAGTATTATTAAAAAAGCGCTATACAAATAAACATTATTTCTTACACTCTTTTATCAGACAAAATTAAATGTACAAATAATGAGATGTGAAGTCACAAGCACGTTCTCTTTAATACTTTAAAAAAGGTTTGTACAAGAAATGGAAAACTATTTTAAAATATTCACATTTCGGAACCAATTTCAGACAGAGTAACATAAATTATACAGTGAAACTTTCAAAATAAAGAGACACATCATCAGTGATAGTGAGATTAATATTTTAAATACTAAACAATCACTATAATTCACTAGTATTTTACTAGTATATTAAGAAGTATTTTACTTCATCCGTTTTGTCTTATCCTGACCAAACAGGAGTTTATGATCTAGACAAGGCAAGAATATCAAACACTGAAACTGTTTAAAACGCCGTTATACTCTTGATAATAGTAATAAAACAAGTTGACTTTTTTATTCTGCAGGTGTGACTGAAAATCTCATGTTTTATAGTGAAATTACATCCCAATGAGACGATTCGGGCAGTGCAAACATCAGTTTTTGCTGATGTACCGTTGTGTTTGCCCTGCTACAGGTACTGATTATCACATGTGTCATTACAGTACAGATTACTGTGATAAGTATGTAAATTATGACAGATAATGTAGAACATTAACTCTTTTAGATATACAGAACAGTTCCTCTTTCAGGTCAAAGGTCACGCTGAGGGTCAGGTGACTCGGATAAGCAGCAGAAGGCATTCTTAAACCTGACAGAGATCGTGTGTTGGAAGCATGCAGAAAACTCCAGCCTTCAGGTTTTCTGATTGTGTGTGTGTGTGTGTGTGTGTGTGTGTGTGTTAATGTGGTCGTGTGCTGGGCTCCAGTAGGGGGCGTTTTACTGGAAGATTCCCGCCTCCGCTCGATATCTCACTGTGTTCGGCCACGCCCCTCTTTAGACTCCGCCCATGGGCGTGTCCATTGACAGAACCCCTCTGCCATTTGCAGATGTCACCGTTTAGGATGTCCTGAATATGCTGAACAATCAGGTTTATTGCCACTGAAGATTTACAAGACAAAAGAGAAGCAACAGGTTTGAAAAGCAAGGCTTGGTTTCATATAGGCAGGAATATTATGGCTCATATTTACCCATGTTATCAACTCCACGAGGTATTATGACATCTGCATATTTCTTGGTCTATTTGGAGAGAGATTTCAGAAGTCATGAATGCTTTAAATAACTATCAAATGTTATTTCAGCTTTAGTTGTGTGTGTGTGTGTGTGTGTGTGTGTGTGTTCTCACCGGAAGGCAGAACTCTTCAAAGGCCGGTTTAACAAACGTGGTGTACTGTGAGAGAATCTGTTCCAGATCTCGACCTCTCCTCATGTCACGCAGAACTAAACACACAATATTACACAGACACTGTTATAACAGGCATACATCTATGCTAATTATTCGAATATTTCATATTTAGGTTACACTTTATTTTACGATGGCCTTGTTACAGTGTAAATATACAATTAGGTACAGAGTAATATTAATGACCTACATGTACTTACTATAAGGTTAGGGTTAGTTTTTGTTTAGGGTTAGTTGCATGTAATTATGCATAATTTATAGTTATTACTATAGAAACTACATGTAACGTGTAACAGACACTGTAGAATAAAGTGTTACCAAAATTTACATAAATTCAAATTAAAAATGTAAAGGAAGCTAATAACAGTTTCTGAAACTTAAATAAAGTTTATAAAACAAATATGGACAATCATTTAAAATTTTGGGCTCAGTAAGATTTATTATTATTTATTATTAAACTAAACAGTAATGACACAATACATTGATCAAAAGTAACAGTAAAGACATTTATAATTCTACAAAATATTTCTACTTCAATGCTGTTTAAGTTTAAAGTTCAAATAAAGTTCTTTTGAACTAACAAAAAATGCATTACAGTTTCTACAAAAATATGAAGCAGCTCAACTGTTTTCAACTGATAATAATCAGAAATGTTTCTTGAGCATCAAATCATCATATTAGAGTGATTTCTGAAGGATCATGTGACACTGAAGACTGGAGTAATGATGCTGAAAATCCAGCTTTGATCACAGGAATAAATTACATTTTAATATTCACATAGAAAACAGTTTACAATATTTAACAATATAACTGATTTTATTTTGTTCAAATAAATGCAGCCTTGGTAAGCAAAAAAAACAAACATAAAAAAATCTATCAAACCCTAAATTTCTGAACATAAGTGTGCATAATCATTTTCATACATTTAAAGTTCCTCTATTAAGTTTTGCCCATTTTAAAGTCTTATTTTAGAGTTTATTTTTTTAAACTCTTGCAGTGCACTATTTCTTAACTATAATTAATAAGAACAAAACTGTAAAATACAACTTTGAAATGTGTCTATGAAATAAAAACAAAACTGGAAATAGCAAAGCCTGAACTTAACGATAACAACGCTGTAATTTTAAGTATGTCTGAAAGTTACATTCAAATACTTTTTTTTTTGTTAGTAAATATTACATTTAGTGCTGTCAAATTGATAAATCGCATCTAACATAAAAATGTGTTTATATAATGTGTGTTATAAAGTATGTATGATATATATAAATATATATACACACACACACATATAGAAATATATCAATATATACACACGTTAACAAAAAACTTAAATGCGATTAATCATGATTAATTGATTAGACAGCACTTATTACATTATATAAACTTCTAAATAATATAAAGACATTGTCTCTACACTTGGTGTGCTTATGTGTGCATTACCTCTGCGAGACAGGCGTACATCTGAGTCCGTGTCCACAAACAGTTTCATGTGGAACATGTCTCTGACTTCCTGTGTGTAAAACACCAGAATCCCCTCGAACAGCACCACATCAGCGGGATACACACATATCTTCTCTGGCAGCCTACACACAGTCATTAAATACTCCGTTATCAGACAGACAATCACATACTATCATGCACACGTGAAGAGAGAGACTGTCTCAGCATGTGAGTCATTGGTTGACGACGTGTCATTATGAGTAAAAAGTGTGTGTGGCCTGGTAAACCCAACATTATGGGGACAAAATGTCCTCACAAAGTTGCCAATAGACATTTTGGTCCCTATGAGGAAAACAGCTTTAAAATCAGACTAAGTGATGCTTTTTAAAAATGCAGAAAGTTTTGTGTGATGGGTAGTTTTAGGGGTGAGGTTAGTGTAAGGGGAGAGAATATGAGTTTGTACAGTATAAAAACCATTACGTATATGGAGAGTCCCCATTGAACATGTGTGTGTGTGTGTGTGTGTTATTGCCTGGAATGGGTGACGAAGTCATATGTTGGAACCTCCACCACCTTCCCTTCTACTATATCCTTCAACGTCTGACACATGAACTCCGTATCAAATGCCTCTGGGAGAGAGAGAGAGAAAACATCATAGTGCATTGAAAACCGACCCACATGTCGCTCCAACCTTGTTTTGCTGACCTATTTCAATTGATTTGTGTAAACAAAATCAATGGACATAAAAAATTTACATAAAAGGACAACATCAAACAACATAAAGGTGAGTAAATGACGACAGCATTTTCATTCATGGCTGAATTATTTCTTATCCTTTTTTTTACCTGGATGGTCAAAGTTGTACTGGCCTTTCAAAGCTTTGGCCTTCTGTTCTGGAGTGAGAATCCGGTAGAAACTGTCCTGACTGACGATAGTGACCTTCCTCTGGTGGTGATCAACCATGTTCTGACCCAAAAGCTCCATGATTTTGGCACACACCGTGGACTAGCAAGAGAAAAACAGCAGTTAATGACCTGGACTGACAGTCTACTGTCCCATTTGTAATTGCATCAGCCTGAATATCATTACAGACACAGACACCAGATTTTAAGATAAGGGCATTTTGTCATTACTTTAGTTTATTTGTTTGCAAAAAATGACATTTCATTGCCTATAATTACTTGCTGCATGCTGTTTTCTTGTGCATTTTATATATTATGGTTTAAACTGCCTGCATTCCACCTCAATGCAAATGAAATGCACTTTATATGTAAAGCAAAACAGAGAAACATGTTGACTGTGACTAACCTAAGGCACAACATGTAAGTTATAGGTTTGCCTGCATTAAAACGCCAAAGTCAGCAGTATGCATCAGTTTCCATCATGCATGCAGTGTCTCGTACCTTTCCACTGGCTGTTCCTCCGCTCACCCCGATCAGGAAAGGACGGTGACGCGGCCGCTCGCTTTCACACAACAGTCCGGCTGGATTCATGCTGGTACAGTAAGAAAAACTTCAACTAAACCGTCCTGGATATGATCGGTCATTAGCTGGAGGTTGTGTGCTCAATTACCGCCTGGTTTTACTCTCAGCAACGGCCGATTAAGTACTCTAATATTACTGTACTGGTTAGCAACTGTTAAAGTGAACATGACATTTCTCTTCCACCACGAGGCGCTCAGCGACTCAGAGAGCCATGTCCGTATTGAGGCTCATTCAAATCTCATGATGTTTTTTTGTCTTACTGGAGACATTTGGAGTTTAAAAGGTATCATCTTGTGAATGTCTGAGATTGATTCCTGGCATAAAAGTGGAAACGACACCATTAGTCTTTGTAATGTTGTTTAAAACAGCCTTGTTTAGTCACCGCAAACAACTGTGATTGGCCCGTTCTAGTCCAGCGCTGAGAAAAGTAACAGGTGTCATGTGACCACTCTACCTATGCCCCGCTTGACCGGAGTCTGGACAATAATCTACCGAGTTGTGTTAAGATATTAAGACATTTCAATAGATGATGAAGTGAAAGACTGCACAGAATTAAAAGCAGAACAATTATTTTATCCTGACCAATAAGAGCAGACCGCTAAGCCACGACCATTGTCGCATCCCTGCTTCTCTGTTGAATGCCATTCTACCTCCTCTTTCTGTTTATATGGTTTCGCTTCTGGACGTTGCTGCGTCATGCTGCGCGCGCAAACTCCACAAAACTTGTAAACAAAGTCATCACTTATTGCAAATTGTGTTAAAACAATTTCTTCTGATGTATTAGCTAGACATTTGTTTATGGGGATTCTTTGAAAATACTCTTTTTATATTCATTTTATAATAATTGTATTACTATTCCTTGCAGAATTTTACATTAACTAAATGTACATTTTCACAGAATATATATATATATAGGACAGAATGTTTTGGGCACAGACAGACTTCCCGTACCACGTGATCTGATTATTATCGGTCTGAATAAAAAGAAAAATAATCGAGAGCTCATTATCGAAACGTTACCAGACTTTCTGTTCTTCTTAAACACAGGCGATATCTCTAATGACGATGAAATGTCATATCTGCTCAGACGGGCTTTGGCTCAAACCGAGTTGAATCACTCGTCGCTTGCCGATGACGACAGAGCGTCTAAACGAAGCCCCGCCCATCATGTTTATTTACCAGTTTATTTACACAAAAGAAGGAATTTTAAAGAATGTTGGTAAGCAGACAGTGGATGTAAATATATATATATATATATATATATATATATATATATATATATATATATATATATATATATATATATATATATATATATATTTACATCCACTGTCTGCTTACCAACATTCTTTAAAATTCCTTCTTTTGTGTTCAACAGAAGAAGGAAACGCATACAGGTTTGGAATAACATGAGGGTGATGATGAGGAAATTTCATTTTTGGGTGAACTCTCTCTTTAAGAAAGTCTCTTCAATTATGTAATACTTATAATCAGTGTTGGGTGTAATTAATTACTTGGTAATCTAAGTATTTTAATTTAATTACTTTTCCCTTGAAAAAGTAACGTAAGGGATTACTCTTAATTTTTCCGGAATTTAATTACAGTCACTTCTGATGTAATTGCATTAAATACTATAGACTACAGAACACTTCCATCTAACGCAATAGTGTGTTTAAAATCAAATTTAAATGTTAAAATGTATGTTTTCAATGTAACCTTCTCCCTTTACACACTTTGGTCAGTTCAAGAATAATTTATGCAATTGTATATTGTTTATTTGAAAGAACTAAAGTGCCGTATCATGTCTATCCTTGTATTGTTCAACTGTTCAAGGTTGATATGGGATTTTAGAAAGTAATTATAAAGTAGTAATAGAGTAGTAGAGTAATCGAATTACACTGTAATTAGTAGCTAGTAATTAATTACTTTTTAGAGTAACTTAACTAACACTGCTTATAATATGCTTTAGTTTATTTCAGAATTTCCAACCCTTAGTTTTGTTTGTAACTGTTGTTTTTGTTGCAAAATAAACAAAACAACAAAAGCCTTGCAAAACCAGTATTGCTTTAGCTGTATTGGTGTTTCCCAGTCAAAGGTCGCTGATATACAGTGCATGTCATTTGAAGATATCAAAGGATGTTGCAGTGAAAATATTGCAGTGTCCACAAGGTGGAGCAGAACGCTTAAAAAAACCCTCCAAAGTGATGAGATGATTGTTTTTCAGTGCTTTAATAAGAATATAAAAACTATAACAACGATATAATACAATGAACAGCTCTTGGTAATTGCTAGACCTGAACTGGTAGTTTCAGACAGTCAATATAAATGTCAGTCATGTTTTGTCCGACCCGTCGCTCAGATGTGGGGGTTTCTGTTCATCTGGATTATTTCTTGACGTCTCCTTTATTGATTCCTCTGCAACAATTTCCAAGGCCTCGTCCCCTTGAACTCTTCGGACTGATTCTCCTTTAGCAGCCAGGATCTCCTCGATGTTTCTATGGCAAATACAGAACATGCGACTTTTAACTTCACAATAAAGTTTTCGTCATAATGCTTTAGAGCAGGGGTTTTCTTGGGGGAAAATGTAGAGAAAAACAGTGTAAAAAATTATATTTAAATAAATCTAGTAGTAGAGTTACAGTACTAAAGTGTGTAGATTTTTTTTTAATGTAATAGAAAATAATGTACAAATTTTCACAGCATAAATGAGTCTTTATAGATGAAAATATATAGCTGCTTTTTATTTTGTAGGATGGATCCTCACACGAGGATGAACATATCTATGGGTTAGTGGCATCAAGGCCTGGTTTCACAGACAGGGTTTAGATTAAGCCAGGATTAGACCTTAGTTCAATTAGGACATTTAATTAACTTTTAACACAGCCCTGTTTTCTTTATTTCAGTTTTTAACATTTCAACTTTTGCGCGGATCAATCACACAGTCAAATGAATAGTCCATGCACATGAACAAACATACACACCTTTTCCCCTCCAGGTCAGAAAACCAGTTCAGATTATCAGCGATGACGTGATGGTTGTTGCATCCAGGACACGTTACTATGACGACACCCTTGTGATAGGCTATCTTGGATATTTTCTTCGTGGAGCGAGTGGAGCACACCTAAAGAGACAAAACAGAAAAGTACATGACTGAGCTGAGCTATTTAGGCGAGTCAAAAGTTCCCCAGCTGAAGAGTCACACACATGTACAGAAGAAGTATGATCGTACTTTGCAGGTGTACACCAGTTGATAGTGCGTTGACTGCACTTGTCCAATGGCTTCAGTCCTGCACTCCGAGGTTGTGAAGCTCCTGCAGGAACTCAATCTGCCTCCATTCTGTGACCCCAGTAAAGAATTAGTGAAGTGTAAGGAGGTGTTTGGGGCTCCTTTCTGTGCCGCCTCATATTTGACTCTAGCAGGACAGAATGTTTTGGGCACAGACAGACTTCCCGCACCACGTGATCTGATTATTATCGGTCTGAATAAAAAGAAAAATAATCGAGAGCTCATTATCGAAACGTTACCAGACTTTCTGTTCTTCTTAAACACAGGCGATATCTCTAATGTCGATGAAATGTCATATCTGCTCAGACGGGCTTTGGCTCAAACCGAGTTGAATCACTCGTCGCTTGCCGATGACGACAGAGCGTCTAAACGAAGCCCCGCCCATCATGTTTATTTACCAGTGACATGTGGATTGCATCGAATAGTAAGGGTCATTTACTTACTTATTCAGAATTTTTAGGAAAATTTTAATTGTATATATCTGCCAAGGAGTATAGGATGGTAATCAATGCCATCCCCCCAGAACTTATGAAATTGCTAGGAAATAATATTATTGAAAAGCCAAACATAGACAAACAAGGTGTAAATTCAAAAGGCAGAAAATGTCAAAATAATTATCTCAGAACAATTTGCCGAATTTCTTTAGCCATTGGATTTTGGAGACGTTGTCAATTGGAAAGAGACCTTTAAAATCTCCAGACACTTTATCACCAATATTACAACTCAAATAAATGTATGGTTTTATGATAATACTGGTGACTTTAAAATTTGGTATATTGTGAAATTACTCATTAGGCTGTATAGCCTATCGAAAATGATTTATCCACAAATGTAAATTGGGAGGGAAAAAAATAATTTGACTTATTTTAAAATAGGTCTCTGCTTGTATACATTAAAAGAAAAAAGAAATAACGAAGCAAAAAAAAAACTAAATTATTTTAAAGCCTTCTATAAATCTATTCTTTTAATAATGTTTGTACTTATTTATAGACATGTGAGTTTACTACTGCTTTCTCTTCTCTTATTTTATTTATCATAAGATTTGATGTATAGGCCTAATTGATATGTTATTGCCCTTGTATGTTTATTGTTCAAAAGATTGCAATAAAAAAAGACAAGTGGATTACATCAGTTTGAGATGAAAGTTTTTATAAATACATTATACATGTTGCTGGGAGAAGCTTGAATATATGCCAAACTTTGCTCACAGGGGTGAAAGTGTGTTTCAATGACTGATAGCCTGCTCACATCATGAGGAGTCTTTAAAGTAAAATTTCTTATAGTCCTGCTCCTGCAAATAAATCTGATGATAAACAAATCTGATGATAACGATGCTGAAATGGTCTTGAAATAATCTTGTACAAACATATTTCAGGTGAATATACCAATGTAATTCTGATTATCATGTTATTATCATTTTATTGCTAGCTATTTGATTCATCCTACTGGTAAACAGTGGTAAACATTCCGCGGGTAAATGTTGTAACATCTGCTTCCATTTTGCCTTTGATGAGGAGAACTATATGATGTCATAGGAACGTCATATTTCCGTTATTCAACAGTTGTGACTTTTCTTGCCTTCCCGCGCGTCTGTGTCTTGCGACAGTTTCTTCGGTTACAGTTAACGGGCAAACGACCTTCATCTCACAAGGATAGTCTGCACCGTCCGCTCCACCCTGCGTCAAAGTCACGCCCGCGTGTGCGGTATCAGCGCAGCCCCAGTCAACGCGCCCGCTCGCGCCGCAGTACATATTCTACTATGGCGAAGATCTGGCTCATGAATATTAATCGACTCATGTTGACGTCACGTTCTTTTTTGTGTCCGTCACGTAACGTAATTAAATATGCACGATTCACAGTTTTCATACCTGAGTGACTTATTTATGTTATTTAATGTTGGAAAAGATCTCTACAAAAGTTCAGAAAGAAGAAAACAATTATTTAAAAACAGTCAAAAGACAATTTAAACAGTAAGCTATCTTTACTTCAAATTATATTTGATCATTAAAGAAGAGGACCATACATTTAAGACACAACATTAAATCATTCTCTTTTTTCAAATATCGCTTATAAAATTATATAAAATTATGTAAAGGAAATATATCAGATTTGTAAAATTGGAAAGATCAGAAACACAGTTCTATAGAATCATACAAGATTATATTTAACTTATATAGATTTTATATAAATAATAAATACTATATATGTGTATATATATATATATATATATATATATGTTATAAATACGATATATAAAACATGTATTTTTATATTAGGCTATATGTAAAATTATATAAAACTCACTTAAAGTAAATATCACAGGTTAGCAAAAATATCTAAGACATATAAATGATTATTATATAAATAATAAATACCATGAATAAAGTAAATAATAATAATAAAATATATATGTTATAAATAATATATAGCCTATAAAATATATATTTTTGTAATATTTATAAAAATGGTATACAACTCACTAAAGTAAATATTATAGGTTAGCAAAAATATCTAAGAAAATGATAAATATTATATAAATAATAAATACTATAAATAAAATAAATAATATCTGTATTAGTTATAAATAAGTGTATGTATTTTTATATTATATATATATATATATAAAACTCACTAAAGTAAATATCATTGGTTAGCAAAAATATATAACATATATCAATAATTATTATATAAATAATAAATGCTATAAATAAAGTAAATGATATATATATATTATTTTATATATATTATAAATAATATGTATACAAATATGCATTTTTCACAATGGCAATCGCAATCATAATTCATGAATCAGAGATTTTGAAATAATGCTATCTAATTTAACAATGCAGCGCTTTTGGCACTGTTTGCTCTGTACCCTATTGCCATGCAAATTAAGCTCTGTTAAATTGAATTGATTCGTCAATCCACAGTCAGTCTAGGCCCGCGGAGTTTTCTCAGCCAATCAGGATTGGCCTAGCGGTTCAACGTAAAGTTACGTCATTAATATTCATGAGCCGAGCCTTCGCTGTAGTAGGATTCGAGTCAGACGCATCCCGGGAGGTCCAGCTGACGCGTATTCCTGGGCGTGGCTTAGCCGCGTTCCTCAACTCTTTCCTCGGGCTGCGGAGTGTGTGAGGCTGCCGCTGTGGATCGTGGACCGGAGGAAAGACATGTATCAGTTATGCGCCACAGGAGCCAGAGATCCACTCAGTAACGAGGCCGGTGAGTTGCGCCGGATGTGTGTGTGTGTGTTTCTCGGGGGTTGAGTGTGTGTTCAGGGTGTGTTTGACAACACAAAAGGCTTTTAGGAGACCAACAAGACAAGCTTTAATTTTCCACCCACGGAAAACCATTAAACGGCAGGCCAAGGACTGTGTGCGCGCTTAACTTTGTGCGTCTTGAGTTAGTCTATAAATTAATGAATTATTGTGTTTCTGTGCATGTGTTTTTTCACTATCCAGTGCGTGTTTCCTGTGCTTGTATCTGGATCTGATCTTATTAATATAACATCTCATGTAATTGTATATCGCCCCCTAAACTAGGGGTTTTCAAACTGGGGTCTGCATGGGAGTCCATGAAAAAAGTTCAGAGAAAAACAGTGTAAATTAAATAAATAGGGCTTATATAAAAAAAGAAAAAGAAACTAACTGAATAAAATTGATTAAAATAAATGACAAAATTGTTAATATATATAAATAAATAAAAAATAAAAAATTAAATGACTTATTAAAACAGCAGTACCATAGTGAGTAGAAAAATAAATAATGTAATGTAACAGAAACTAAATGTTTTCAAAATAATAGTACACATATTTTCACTGATCTTTATACATGCACATATATATATAACTGCCTTTAATTTTTAGGATGTGGTCCCTTGCATGAGAAGGATCATATTTGGGGTCCGTGGCATATAACAGATTGTAAAAAAACCCTGCCTTTAGATTACAGTCTGATATTGATTATACAGCCACTTAGAACAATTAGGGCTAGAGATAAAAATACATGTGTTTTTCTCCACTTACTGTAGTAATAGAATGATTTTGGGACACTCCTTGCTGGGTGTGTTGTGGGTTAGTGGTTAAAAATGTAGGCTAGTAACCTGTTGGCCACAGGTTTAAACCTCAGAATAGGTGTACCGCCATTGTGCAACTGAGAGGGTCTGCCGTATATCACTTCAGAAAATAGCACAGATGTGTCATGGACTATTTTAACATCATTTGCATTCATTATATTTGGTTTATTTTGCCCCATAACATGGATAAGGGTTAAATGCTAAAGGCGAGAGATGTGTGTGTTTTGAACAAGTGCAGGCCTGATGTTTTTCCTCAACGTGTGTGAAGATGTCTTTGTTAGCTGGAGCAGGCCGAATGTGTTCCAGGAAGCAGGGTTGATCTGAGCAGGACACACCCGTAGTTGACTGCAGTGTGTGGAGTGTAAAACCCAAAGCCTGCATGTCTGTGGGACGCCACACACACAAGACCTATGACCACCACATATAATCACCAAATGCCCTTTCCTAGCATCTGTGAAAGAGTCGAATGCATCAGAATAGAACTGTTCTCGAGGTCTCAGTGACTCTGGCTATATCAATTTTATATTAATAAAAAAAAAGATATATATAATTTATATAAAATTTGATCTTTTTTCATCAGAATTCCGAGATATAAACTCACGTCCAAGAAAAAAAGTCAGAATTGTGAGGCAATTACCTTTTTTATAATTTTATTTTTATTCCGCTGGGGAAACGAACTTCCATAAATGTGACATCATTTCATGTGTAATGCAATATAAATTGTATAAATAAACTATTTAGTTTTTCATCAGAATATCAGCAAATTTGCATGGAAACAATAACCATTACATTTAAGTTCTCCATATTTATAAATCTATTTTAAAACATGCTTTCACATTCTGTATTCTTGATTTGCTGAGAAAATAAAAGCACAATTAAATTGATGATAATTTTCTGACCACATGATTTAGAAAGCAGTTTCTCTGACCTCACATCAGTGTTTTATTAGGTTTACTTTTATACTAGCATTATCTTCTAAGCCAATAAACTCTGAATAGATATATATAATTTATATAAAATTTTATTTAAAATTATGAAAATAAAATCTTATATATACGTATATATAAAATATAAATGTATGTTTTCACAACATGATCTGCATTTTCATGGGTTTAAATAAGATTTTTGTTATAAGAGACATTAAAAACAACTTTGTGCTTCAAAACCCCTCCTTTCCTGGTAAAACTATTTTATTTTAATTGATTTTCAAAAGTCAATGAATTTGCGA